AGTCTTTAAAATTTACTAATTTTTTCATATTCATGATCTCCATATTACAGATTACATGTCCTTAAAAATTAAGTCCACAAATCCATCTAAAAAATATATTTATTAATAGGCCCACATTTCTACATATGAGGGCTTGGCCGCAGAGAAACCGGGTCCTACAAGTAATCCACAAGACCCGATAACATTGCTACTTCTGCACCAATGTTCAAAACCCGATGATTTTGGATCTTGATCACTAATTTGGATGGAAATCGATGGAATCAAACTGGTTTTGGATGGTATGATTCCCAATATGATTTCCAGTTTGGTTCTCTTATAAAAACCTAATTTTGTAGTTTTTGATATTTTTCTTTCAAGCTAACGTTTTCTTAGGTTCCTCTAACCCACCCCACATATCCCTTATTTTATTCTTATTCTATTTTATTTTAAAATATTTTCTGGATCATTAACTTTAGACCTGTCCAGACTGATCCGGATAACCGATCCAGAATGTTCCACCCCCACTGATCCGGGTTATAAAACACTAATTTACACTTGAACAATAATTAATCTGGATGTCATTCTACATATCAAAAAGAGGTTTCTGTACCAAGGCACCACAGGTCTACCAGTAATCGCATTCTCTATCCATTTTTGCCTTTCTCATTACATGAAATTGCATAGGATTTAAGAGAAATTCAATTTTTCATTTCTTCACATCAGCTGACTATTTTATCTATAAAATTGAATTGGGGATTCTAATTCTTCCTTGTCATATTCTCATAATTTATAACTAAACTATGTGTCCTTCTCTTTTCCTTAGATTTTAGATTTAGGCATTGTTTTCCCCCCTTGTTTTTTTTTCCTGTTTCCCAGTGCTTTAATTTGAATCGTTTCACCATTTTTTTTTTCCTGTTTCCCAGTGATTAAGTCTTTTGGGTTAGAAATTTGGGTTTTGAGTTTTATCAAGAAATTTGATAGAATTAGAAGCCCAATTGAATCATGTGGTACCATACAGAATACTATATGAAATCATGAGAGTCACTGCCTAAAACACCAGATCTTCATGAAGTTGAAGCAGCCAAAGCTATCACAAACACTCTCTAAAATGGAGAAAATTCATTGAAACGAGAAGCCATTTACACACGTGCACCATGCAGGTACCTGTCGCTCCTGCTGCTCAGTTACAGTAGCTGTTTTGCTGTTGCTCTCTCACTGCCAACCTCTACAGGCGTGCTTTCTTTCCTTTCTCATCTCTTTCTCTCTTATTTTTCCCTTTCATTTTTTTCTCTTCACCCCTTCCATCTCCATTCCCTTTCTTTGCCCATTCCTGCACCCTCCCTTCACCTTTCATTCATGATCGCACCCTCATTTTTGCCTCATTACCCTCTCCTAGACTCTCAGGTTAATGCCTAAGATAAGATATTCTCGTATTTAAGATAGAAAACCAAGGGCATTACCTTCTTATTTAGGAGGCCTTGGTGAGCTTTGTTGGTTTTCTAGTCTTCATTGGAGACTTCAACATGATCCGAAAGGGCATAAGAAAGGTGGCCATAATCCCAATGGATCTCATATGGAAGCTTTCAACGAATGCTGGACCTTGATCGGCAGCACATGAAATCAGTAGGGGTGGCAATGGACCACGCAGGACCCGGTCAGGTAATACCCGACATGGGTTTGGGTATGGGTCCAATATTTGGACTCGGTGGGTTGGGTCCGAGTCCAAAACCTTAATCCGAATACTATTCGGGTTCGGATCCTGATCCGATTGGACCCGACTCATACCCGACCCGTACCCGCAAACAGTTGGAGATATTCAAGCCCTATTCGGCTGTATTAAAGATCGTCTACAATAAGAACTCGTAGTCATCTTTAGCTATTAAACAACTAATCAGAAGGCTTGAACTCTAATGCTGGTGATTGTGACCTTATTGTCAACAATATAAGTGTATGATGGAAAAAAAATGGCAAAAAAAAAGCTCATAGTGAGGGTAGCAATGGATCTGACCAGACCAAGGACCCGATGAGTACGGGTATGGGTCCAACTTTTGAACCCGACGGATCGGGTCCGAGTCCAAGACCCAAATACTAGTTGGGTATGAGTATGGGGACGGATCGGGTCTGGGTCCAAGACCCAAATACTATTTGGGTATGCGTATGGGGTTCAGCCAGACTCGACCTGTACCCGACCCGAACTCACCCCTAGTTTCAAGTAGTTGGTTGGGATTTGAACTCCAGCATAGCGCCAAATACAAAAAAATTGGGGGAGTTGTAAGAACTCGTCCTATCTCCCTTTTCTTCAGTTCCGCTTCTCTTTGTTATAGCTTCTCCATCTGACTTCCCTCCCAGGTTTTTCTTTTCCCTCCCTTTTCTCCTTTGTTCTATTATTTAAACCTGAGTTTCTCCTTTGTTCTATTATTTAAACCTGAATTTCTTGTCGCTGGTTGTGTGCAACTCTGGTGCACTGTTATGTTTTTAAGGTTCCTTTTCTGGGTGTCGCTGCTGTGCTAGTTACATGTCACCTAAACCTCGGCCTGTGAGGTTATTGTAAAAGGGATGGTTGGTAATATTGGTATCTTTGTAAGAAAATCAGATCGAGTTTTAGAGGTCGCAATGGAAGTCAATCGTGGCTTAATTGGGGCTTTTGGCAGTGGTTAGGATCCCTTGAGGTAGGGTCAGTTGTGTTTGATAGTGTTGGTTGATCATCCTTGGATGGACGGAATACACTTTATATTTTCCTATTTCTTCCTGTTTTACCTGTACTTATGTAGCTATCTTCCCTTTATTAACGATAACAACGGTTACCACTATATAAATAAATAAAAGGAAAAATTACGTAAATATTTTTATTATTATCAAAATATCAAATATTTTCTATTATTATTGATATATCCATTTTTAGACTTCATAACGTATTTTTTAAAAAAAGACGAAACTACTTATTTTTGGTTTTTAAAAAACCAAAATCAAACTAGTTTCAGTTTTTGAAAAACCCTGCTGTTGAAGAACATAAAATTTTAATTTTTATGTTCTTCAAGAACCGAAAAATGTTCTCTCTTATGGTGTGTCATCTCTACCTCTTTAAAGTCTACCTCTTTAAAGTCAGAGCTATCCGATAAAATCAAATGTAACAACTAGTTTGAGCCCCTAAATTTAAGAGAAATCTTAGAGATTATGAGATTAAAAGATCGGGAGAAATCTTGTGGTTTATTCTCTCTACGTCTTCGAAGTCATTGTTATTCGATAAAATCAAGGAGGTATAGCTAGTTTGAGCCTCTAATAGATATCTCATGCATTATGAGATTAAGAGAAATCTTATAGTGTATTATCTCTCTACCTCAATTGTGGTATTTTCTCTATCTTGTGGTGTATTAGTAGATATCTCATGCATTATGAGATTAAGAGAAATCTTATAGTGTATTATCTCTCTACCTCAATTGTGGTATTTTCTCTATCTTGTGGTGTATTCTCTCTCTATCTCTCTGACGTCATAGTTATTTGATAAAATTAAGGGAACAACTAGTTTGAGCATCTACATTAGAGGAGAATAGAAAGCTGATGACCGAGCCCATGATGCCCTACCTTCAAGAAGAGAACTCTCGTCAATTCCTACCTTCAAGAAGAGATCTCTCGTCAATTCATCGAAACGAGGCCAAATTCCTCTCTCAATACGCTAGATGAAACTTACTAAAAAAAGGCTCGGTGAAACCGAAAATGCGTAGTTTCATTTTTTAAAAAAATTTGTTATGAAGTAAAAAACGGACATATCATTAATAACAGAAAGTATTCGGTATTTTGGTAATAACAAAAACTAAACACAGATATTTACATAATTTTCTCTAAATAAAAAGATGTAGTTGTGGTGCCAAAAAGCCTTGGCTCAAAAGGCGTATTCTCACCCTTAAATGTGAAGTTTAAACTTTTAAGGTTAAAAAAGGTACATATTAAGTACATTTATAAATAATTAAATATCTTAAAAAATGATGGTCTCGACACTCGATAGTGCATCACAAGATGCATTATATCATAAATTGATTTTTTTTTTTTTTTTTTAATATTGGACTAGCATCGAAACAACTTTTTGATCTATAGGATTTGAGTTGTGCATTATTTCAATAGTGTATGGTTGTCATGTTATTCTCCATTAAAATGGCAACCCCTATTAGGGATGGGTACAAGGCTAGGTGGTTAGGATGGTGGCTGGAGTTCCATTCCAGCTACGGATGGCAGCCCCATCCTCACTAAACTACCCAAAAAAAAAAGCATCCGCTTTTGGTAAAGCTTATCTTTTGAGTCACCCAACTCGCAGTCACCCCTTCAAAATTCATCTTTAATAAGGGTTTTTGCCTCTAAAGTTTTAGGATCTGTTAATCTTTGATCCAAAATTTTGAGATTGGTTAATCTGAACTATCATGGTGATTTTAAAATATAAAAATCACATTTTTAATATATTATCCTCCACCAATTTTGAGATACAGTGGAAGCACCATTTATCAGTCGCAACAAGCCGGGCCAAAACAAATGAAGACAAAAAAAGAGGGCCAAGCCAAACCAATTGAGCAGCGGTGGCCCTAACCCGGCTCTTGGGCCTGACCCTACTTTCTTTTAGGCTCAGGCTGCGCCATACCGACTGGTCCATCGCTTGGCCTAGCACTATTTTTTGACGTCCATCTCCAAGATAGACGTTTGATATATGAGAAGACACATAGGACGTCTCATACATTAGGAGAAACAAATCTTTTGATGTGTCAGGCTGATTCACCGCAACCCGGACAACAAGGTGATATTCACTCTACACCCTCGGATCAGTGTACGGATTTCCGATTACCTCGCCACGTCATTTGGAAGTCGGTGCATTAATTGAAGCAGGAAACGACCACGTCAACACACACGAAACAAATCATTCATCTGAAACCTTATTGGTCGAAATCGTTGGAAACACAGCAGTCTGCCACGTGTCAAAGTTTGGAAGGATCTCGATGCGACGCTGATTTCCCGGATGCACTTCACATATATTTTCACTCGTGCACCTTCTCTGTCTGATGGTTTTCTCTGACCTAATTTTCAAAGCCGGATACCGTTCAAGCTCTCTCCTCGATTCCTGCAAATTTCCCGAGTTTTTTTCCTCTCTCTCAAAGTTACGTGTTCCTGCAAATTCTCCCCATCTCTCTAAGTTGAGCATTGTTAAATCTCTCTCTCTCTCTCTCTCTCTCTCTCTCTGATCCTGCACTTTTGAATCCTTTACTTTGTCCTCTCACTCTACGCTTCTGCAATTTTGAATTCTCTCTCTCTCTCTGGTCCTGCACTTTTGAATCCTTACTTTGTCCTCTCTCTCTACGCTTTTGCAATTTTGAATTCGGTTATGTTGTCTTTGGATTGTTAAAAGCTATCCATTATGAGCGCTTTCTTTCTTTTTTTCGTGTTCTCGACATTCGTGCTTGTGGCCTTCTCAATCGACCCATACAAGGTAAGCTTCTATTGTACCTTGTTTGTTTTGAATTTGTAGTTTGCCTGGTTAATTCGCATATTTCTTTTCATACTTCGTGAATTTCATTTCTTAGCCTTTTTTTTAGGGTTTGATCTTGAATGTTGGTAATTCACTATAGTTTTGTCCAATTCTCGTGCATTTTCTCTCCCTTTCCCTGGAGTAGCAGGTTAATTTTGATCCCTTTTGTTCGTTATCAACCTGCATTTTGTGTTGGTTTCATCTTGATAATTGCATAATTCCATCTGAATCTTCTTAGCATAATCTTTTAGGGGGTAATCCAATCGAATTTTTTCGGTACAAATTATTGGTTGCAGACTGAATTCCAGTGTTTTGGCTGGAATTCTCGTCACCTTTGTACCCCAAATTCCATATTCAGAAGCATATTCATTTCCCTGGTGTCAGCTCAGTTGAATCAAGATCAATGGTATTTTGAATGTTGAGAGAGTGTATTTTATTTTTTTAATTGTACTGAGAAATTGCATTTTCTGTTCCATTTAAACTCTGATGCATCCAGGCTCAACATTGAGTTTGAGGTTTTCATGCAACCATAGGATCAGTACTTTTTTCACGTGAAGTATTATAATTGCAGAGCAAGAAACATGGATTGTTTTAGTTATCTTGTTTTATAAGAGCGTTAGTTAGCATATAATGATCTGATGCTTCTAGCAAAGAAATGTATATTAAAAATCCATGAGCACTGATAATTTATATAATTATGAAATGTACCACTTAAATCAGATCCAGCAAGAACAAGGAAATCACTTACGTCTGAACTACTGAGAGCTCATTTCCACACAATTTGCAAGAGCTAATTATACCACAATCCAAACCTTTATTGCTGGATCCTTGTTTCTGCCCTCACTGAAAGAACTTAATCTACAATGAAATCAACTAATGATCGTCGGATTAGCCTTTTGGGTGAACAGTAGAATGTTAGGGCTGCAACATTATGTTTCTGTGATTTGGCCTTTTGGGTTAATTGTAGAATGTTTGGGCTGCAACATTATGCTTCTTTGGTTGGCCTTTTGGATTAATCGTATATTGAATTTGAACAAAGTCTGATTCATTTATGCATACTTTCAGGTCCTTGGTGTTGATCGAGATGCGAGCCAGCGTGACATTCAGAGAGCTTTTCACAAGTATGTACTCCTGGATAGTCGCATCCTTCCTAATGCATTCCTTTTCTTTAACATAACTAAGTTGTGCCATGAGTTCATTTTCAGATGATGTATTAGTAAAGTTCTGCACACTGTACTACCATTTACCTGTGGAAAAAGAAACAAGAAACATAATAGGGTTCCACATTCATCTTGCCTGATAAGTTTGCAGTCTGTTGGCATTCTTTTGATTGATAACACATAATTGATACTCTAAAATAGATGGGTTTTGGACCTCATGCTTTCATCTATAATTGTGGTGATGCTCATTATGAAGTTATGTTATTTGTATATTTGTACATCTTTAACTCAATGAATTGTTAACCGTTACCACTTCAAACAGTTGCCTAATGTATCAGATGTTTGCAGGCTCTCTCTTAAGTATCATCCTGACAAGAACAATGATAAGAGTGCGCAAGCAAAGTTCTCTGAGATAAATAATGGTAAGTAAATTTTTGTTTCTTTGGCATTTTGATTTTATCTGAGATTAAATAATTCCACATGAATTTTCCCTCTCCGGCATGCTCATTATCTTGTCTTCCATACATGCAAAACTGGGATTTTTAATGATATTCTATATTTTGAAGTAATTTGTAAGGAGAGATTTCTTCAAGTCTTGCAGAAGATTTAACAAGGCTTTTCAAGTGTCTCTCACTTTTAGCTTCATGCTTAGTTCACATGTACCTGTTTAGCCTACATATTGAGAATGCATAAAGAGTTCAATTTGTGACAATTTTGCTGAAATCTGTGTTCTAAACATGATTTTTTTAACATGCCCGATGTGCTTATTGAACAATAATTTACTTGATTTTGAGTCTTTAATTCAATTACTGTTTTTTGAGCTTCCCCATTATGAATCGTCTCGTGGTCTTTGTCTTAAGTTTTTTTCCTTCGTCCATGATGATCGTCTTTGCAAAGTTTTACGCCTGGTTTCTTCTCTAAGTGGACATGATCACATGATCATAATTACTACCATTGACATCTTTTGTCTATTCAAAGGAAACTACTTGTCTGTCCTTATGTAGCACATTGCAGGTATTTAAATTTAGTAAGTAAGAAGCATGAAATGAAATTGGTGGAAGTCAACCACTATGTCAGGGTCAAATTACGTTTAGAGGAATCCTCACACCGTAAATCTTCCTAAGTTCCCTTAGAAGCTGAAGAAATTTTGGTTTCTGGCAGAAAAGCTGATTGCTAATTTTGTAGGACTCAGCTGAGGCTTGCTTTCGACCCCAGCCAGTCTTATGAAGTAATAACTGTGTCCTTCCAAAATCATATTCTAATGGTTTTGTTGGGGTGTGCATTGTGTCTCCTTTTCGAGTATGTATGGACTGCTGTATAGATCATTTTAAATCTCTTGTTTCAGAGTCCTACGAAGCAAAGCGGATAAACTGTTATTTCTATAACTCCTTGTGGAGTTGCTTCTCTTTCACATGCATCATTTACCCTTTTGGATTAGACATTTCCTTCTCAAGGGTCTGACATTGGTTTGTAGTTGGCAAACTATGTTGGCTATGGCTAGTACATACCCTTCACAGGAGATCTAATTGGTTTGTTATTGCTTGTTGAACACAGAACACCATGTTGAGGGGAGGGTTGTACTTATTAGTAAATTTGAATTTTGATAATTTGAGAGTTGGGAAAAGGCTCTGATGATGTTGATGATATGTGAATTTTTTTTTTCTTTATGGAGAGTTCTTTGGTTATTTTAGTAATAAACATAATATGATCTTTTGGACTACCATTAGCACAATTATGCATGAAATATAGTTCTTATCCCATTGTAATCAATATAATCTTTGATTTGTCGTTTAGGATTTTATCATGAATCTCTGACAATGATTATGAGGGAAGAGTTTTTCCTAATCAATAGTTATAATTGTTGTGTCATGTGGAGGATAGGAAATGGATCTTTCCAGGATTGTTTGGTTTTTGATATTGCTTGGTCTTCTTGAGGATATGCAACTTGAACAAATGCTTCAGTTTCTTATCTACTAACTCCTTATACTGGACCGGTCCAAGATCTCTTGATCTATATATTTTTGGCAGTTGGTATAATATAAATAGGGCATGATAATTCTGGTGAAAGCTGTCACTGACTCCTTGGTTTTTGGTTGAAAGTGTCTGAGACTATTGGTCACCCTTCCTTTTCTTGTGGCCGGCACTTGTTTGCTTGTGTGGGAGCCAACCTGACAGATAAGAAAAGGATGCCGCCTCTCAGGGCATCTGAAAATGACTTTAGTCATCTCATGTCTGGTGTGGCATCCACTAGATCTGCAAAATTTAATAGTACATGTGTACTTGAAGCATTCAGATATAAAGGTTGATTCCTAGTATAAACATGACTGCGACGTCATTCTTGTATGTGAAGAAACCATCCTGATTTTCAAAGGAAGATGCTGCAAAAGATATCTTTCTCTGTTCTCTCATTACCATTTTCACTAGAGGGTCATAAGTCAGTTATGGGTCCAAAGGAGTGTTCCATCTCCTTTTTACAAATATCAATTTTCCATCTTCTTTTACAAAGATCAATTGTCCATTTGTACTTGAGGCATTCAGATAGAAATATTGTTTCAAGGATAAACATGACTGCAACTTAAATTCTTGTATATTGAAGAATGAGCCTGATTTTCAAAAAGATATCTTTTTCTCTCATTACTATTTTCACTAGAGGGTCATATTTGTTGACACTCCCTATTACAAATGTTGTTTCATGCGCTTCTTGTTCTGTTGCACATGGATCATAGGTGCAGTTAGAGAAGTTTTACAGCTTCTCTCGGTCCCTTTGAAGACTCCATTGAAGCTAGTTATGTAATATTTTTGAGGGACCAAAAAACCCCCAAAATTTTATCCTTGAGGTGTACAAGAACAAGAATCACCATTAATGGTGAACTTATTGCATGAGATTCTCAAAATGTTTTGTGGAATTAGTTTTTTGAATTACGGTTTGTCACTCAAAGGCAGCTTGAAGCACACCTTCAAGTTTATTTGGCAAAAGCCAAATGTTCTTTTTTAGCCACTGTAGGATCTTGTTTCTGTGTCCCCAAGGTTTATGAGAAATGAACTATGAAATTAAGGTTATTGTTTTTTGGTTATTTTATGCATTCTTTATGTTTCTAATGGAATTTATTTGAGTCTGTGGCGCATTTCTTATGCATTTTCTGTGACAATCAAACCAGAGTTAGCCATTCTGTCTCTATTCGTACTTTCACACTGCCACAAAAAATATACTGGTTACTGCAACAACTTGGGCAAATTTGCTTTTTCATTAACCTTGTTTTAGTTTGGATCAGATCTTCATTGTCTGTTCTGTTTGCTGAAAGGCCTGAAACGGCAATGAAGAATTTTTAGATTGTGATTCGGAAGCATAAGTTTCTACACGTAATCATTTATTCTACTGCTTTATGTCTTTTCTACTAAATGCTTTGATTTACCTCTGTTTTAATTGTTCACTAATTTGATATGTTCTCTCTGCAGCATATGAGATTCTATCAGATGAAGAAAAAAGGAAAAACTATGATCTCTATGGTGATGAGAAGGGTGGGCCCAATCTTGGTAGTGGCAACCCAGGAGGCCCAGGAGACAGATCCACATATTTCACCTATGGCGGACCAGGCAGTGGTAATTTTAACTTCAGACCTGGTGGATCTCATCAGGCAAGGCCGTCCTTTGGCAACCCGAGTGGGAGCAGCAGCTCATTTAGTTTTGACTTCAGCGGGTCAAACTTTGCTGAAAATATTTTTTCCACCTTTTTTGGTGGGGGTAACCCAAATGGTGGGAACTTGTTTGGTGGTTTTGGAAGCTCACAGGGGCCTAAATCGGGGCATGGTTCCACTCCACCCTCAAATGTTCAGCCCATTAATTCGAAGGTTTTTGCAAAGGAAGTGGCAGATGAAGGTCTCACCTGGCTTTTGTTGTTTTATACACCCTCATCAAATGGGTATGAAAATGCAGAATCCATTCTTGAGGACGTGGCAAATTCCCTGCACGGTGCATTGAAGGTCTCTCTCTCTCTCTCTGTCTCTCTCTCTCTTAAGCGCACCCATGTTTTTGTGTTAGTGGAAGTCCATTGCTTCTCTACTGAAAGTTCAGTGGGAATTAACTTTTGAAATGTGTTGCAGGCTGGTAGTGTGAACTGCAAAGACGAGAAAGCATTTTGCAAAGAGCGCGGTGTATGGCCCTTAAAATCTAACAGGATCTTTGTATACTCTTATAGAAGCAATGAGAAGGGCTCATTGGTGGAATACAAAGGTGACTGGAATTTCAAAAACTTGAAGAGTTTCTGCCAAGATCATTTGCCCAGATTTTCTAAGCGGGTGGAATTAACTGAGCTTGATCACTTTTTGAGGACGGCCACCAATGATCTACCAAAGGTGATACTCCTCTCAAGAAAGAAGGAGACCCCTGTTATTTGGCGGGTCCTGAGTGGATTATACCATAAAAGATATGCTTTTTACGACACTGAGGTATGCTAAATCTATATTGCGGCATAGCTATGATTTGATTCTAAATCCTTTAAAGTATGCCAATACTCTGATGGAGGAGGAAGAACCATTATTTGTTGGATTCACGATTGTAGGGTGACCAATGGAGAGTGGGAGGCACCCTAATTGTGGGTTTTACTCCCTCTCTATCACCATCATCTCACCAGATGGTCATGACGTGGTCATGAGTCATGACCCCAGTTGACCATGGTTTTTGTAGTCTATTGACTGTAATTTTAATTTCTCCTATTTTTCAGGGGTTATATTTGTTACTTTTTCCTGTAGGTTCATGATTCTTCAGACCCCAAGGTGAGAAGCCTTGGCGTGAAAGCGCTTCCAGCTATACTTGGCATGATGTCGAATGGTCAGAAACATGTATTGAGCTCTGGAATTGTTGTGAAAGATTTAAAAAATGGAGTCTCAGAGCTCCGTGGCATCCTTGAGAATTTTGAGAAAAAAAATAAGAAGGCTGGGGCTTTCGGTAAAACTACCAAGTCATCACCTTCAGAAGCTCGAGATGAGAAGGTCCCCCTCCTAGAGAAAGAGAACGTGGAGACTGTATGTGGGGAAAGTGCGGCTCTCTGCATAATTGGAGTTTTCAGATCATCCAGATCCAGGGAGAGTCTAGCATCCATTTTATCCACTGTGAGTACCCAAATTCCAATGCTTTTTACCTTTGTTCTACTTTCTCAGGTGGCTTAGCACGGAATTGTGATCAATGTTGTCTACACAAAAACTTCGATTCTTCAAATGATCTATTTCCAGAGCTCTTTAATAAGATTCTATACATGGATCCCTCCTTCCATCCTCTCTCTCATGTGTTTGTTGTGTGGGTGTGGAAAAGTTATGTTCAAGCCCTGGCCATAATGCTGCAATCTGTCATAACTACTTAACGTCATAACCACCTCATTGAGAAGCCAAACCCTATTAATTTCAAACATATTTCACTCGCAAGTGTATATTTTTGAAGGTGCATGCTTCACCTTAAAAAAATATGGCCTTTGATAAAGCAAAATAGCAGATCAAGATTCGTATAGCCGACCTTAAATAGTTGGGAAGGTTCTGATGATGATGATGTATGCTTCACCCTTTGTGAAACTTCTCGTTTTGGACCACTGCATTCCCATTCTTGGTATCATGGGAAAGCAGTGGATGTTGCACCTGGGAAAGCACTAGCGTGTGCCAAAAGTAGGACACTAATGTATTTTCTTATTGCCAATCACTTTGATGCCTATTTTGGTATGAAAGTGCTTCCCCATGTGACAGAGTTCATATTGGAAAGCTCTCTCCATATAGCTTCGAATGAAACGAACGTATCTAGCACGGATGGTGTGCAATGCTCCATTATGCGCTCTGCAAGTCCAGACATTTACATGCTTGATTCTGGGCCCATTATATTAGTTTTCCTAGGGCACGAGTTAATTTCCTTGGAGCGCCACTGACCACTGTAAATAGCGAGGGGGCATTTCCCCAGAGTGTTACCACTGTAAATGGGGAGGTCCCCAACTCAAGTTCACCCTTTAGTATTTTACTTTAATACCATTAGTATTTTACTGTAATGCGAAATGTCACAATTTGTCATAAAGAGAATAGAAATATTGATTCTGTATGTTTCGTTATGGAATAATGGCTAATAAATCTTGTGATTGTGAATACTTTGAAATGCAGATGTCACAGAAGACATTAACGAGGGGACAGTACCATGGTGGAAGAGATCCAGTTTCTTACTGTTTGTTAGATGCCAGTAGGCAAGCACAATTCTTGAATGCATTTGACAAGTCAGGTTTCAAGTCTCAAGATAAGCTTCTGGTGGCGTACAAGCCTCGGAGAGGAAAATTTGTCGTGTTCTCTGATGATTTTACACTGGAAGAGGTGGAAAGATTTATTGGGTCTGTTCTCAATGGTGACACAGAACTAAAGAAGATCCTTCGGAAACCTGAGCTGAGGTAGGATCAAGAGCAGTGAGTGAGGTGGAGAGAAAGAGAGAACAAGATGCCTGCTGTGTTCAGTATCTTTTGTGAAGAGGATGGATCAGGTGTGGGGTGGGAGCCTCTATTATTTTGGCTCCATTAACTAATGTGCCTATCTCATGAAAGGAGAACAATTGTACATATTAGAATTGTAGTTAAAAATATATATTTTGCCTTCATGGAAATAGAATGATTTTCCACAAAGTGGTGACGAAACGTATAACTAAATCTTTCCATTCTCATTTAGAACATGGTTTAAGAGGTAGGCCATAGGAGATTCTTATTTTCATACCCTCTCTCCTTCACTGCATTGAGATTGAGAGATGAAAAATCTTCTAGTTTTTTGAAAAAAATGTAGTTGAGAGAGGGTGAATGGTTATTTTTTGAGGAAAACATAATTCAGAGGACACACAGAGAGTCCATAAGAATGAGAATCAATCTATATGCAAACTGACATATTCTCGGCTCGTTCCAAAATAAAATGAGAAAATATTTGGCACATAGCTTATTTTCATAAATGAAGGTGTGGCTAGACTTTAACTTTCACTTATCATATGTGCAACATTCATACTTTTTGGAATATACAATCACCTAGGGATCAAATTGGGCTAATTTGAGGTACTATATGGGTTTCAGACAATAGGGTGATATTCAGGATTTTCTCTAGGGGTACAGTGGGCTAAAAATGAATTTAAGGTCAAATATTTCCCAAGTTTTAGTTCTAGGTTTAGGGTATAGAGCATCTATTAAATTCAACCAAACTAAAATGGGATATCTACAACCAAACTAAAATGGAATTTCCTTAAATTGGAAGTTCGTATAATATGATATGAGAAATGATCCTATACGACCTTTTCCCACCATGTGCACGATCTAAAAGATCACCATTAAATTTAATACAAATCTATAAAAAAATCAAATCGAGTCCCACACTATGTGATAATTTTTCTAAAGATCCGTGATAAATTTAATGATAATTTTTCTAAAGATTTGTGACATATTTAATAATGATCTTTTGAAATCCTACACGGGTCCATAGATTCATTACTCATAAAATATTTAACCATTTGTCCCATATATTCATTACTCATATAATATATTTAACCATTTTTCTTCTTTAATAAGGATAATCTAAAGCTATAAATTCCGATTCCCGAAATTGAGAGAGATTTTGCTGGTTTGGCCTAGTGTAAGTTGTGATATCCTAAAAAGTTATACTTAAACCACTAGCATCACTTTGTCATAGCATCCACTATGTTATATCTTAAAAATATGAGAAAGTACCTTAAAATACGAGGCATCCATGCTCTTTGAGAAATGTCTCATTTTTTTTTTTTAATTTGGCTCTCTTTGAGAAATGTCTCGATGTAAATTTTTTTCTATTTTTTTAATTTGATTTGTAGATCAATTAGGTATAAAAGCTGCTCAAATTTAATGTCTACATTCCACATATCGTACATATAAACGTGTGGTTCTCCAATCTGAACTATTGTGCTCGTACAGTCAAAGCGTCCACCTAGAAGCATTATCAACTCCTGAATATCGAAATCAATAGAAGAGCTTTAACCTCTGCCCCTTTCTTGAAAGGGGGTTTTAACTTTTACCAAAAAAAACAAAATCTTGAAATAAGGTCCTGGAGATCTAAACTTTCAAAAATTGATTCTTACAAATGCAGGGGTCGACCATTTTCTCACGGAAAAACGTCCAAACACTTGATTTTCAATTTAAAAAAAAATCTCGAGGGGTCTTTTAATCTACACGATAATCTTGGAAAAAGCAAATCTAGGAATAGGTTCAAAACTTCTACTCCCATTTCCGGTAGGACATTTAAAGCCAAGAGGAGATTTCTAGAAGGAGAAATTCTAAAAAGACGTAATATTCCAAACCTCAACTTCAAAATAATTCCAATATTTGGGAGGGACCTTTTGAAAAGGGTCACGCCCCAAGAATTTACAATACTGATATTCTTGAGATAAGACAGTCAAAACATATATACATCTCTTGATAAGACAAATTTACAATGGCAAATTCTTACCAAGTAACAATAGAAATTTTAAGCACAACTACAATATCTTCCAAAGTTGATCATGACGAGCACTCAAAATAAAACCGCGGTTATCCTGAAAAAATGTTTACCATAGTTTGATGAGTTTGACTACTCAGTAAGTGATCATCATAATCCTAAAAATAATCATGATTAAAAGATATCAATATTTTCAAAAAGGAGATCTATTAACAGGAATGCATTAACAGTTTCACATTAAAAAATACATAATTAAGTATAATCCGAATAATTGAAATGCATATAACATTTTAACATCAATGCATAATTCAAAGATTTCACAAAATACCCTACTGGCGTCCCAAGTAAGTCACCTATATACCCCATCAGCGTCCTGATGGGTCCACTTAATCCCTATCGACGTCCCAGATAGGTCCACTTAATCCCTGCAGGTCCACTTATACCTCACTAGCATACCGGATGAGTCCACTTAATCCCTACCGGCGTACCGAATAGGTCCACTTATACCTCACCGGCGATCCGGATGAGTCCACTTGCATACTTAAAGTATTTCTAAATCTCTTTAAACATTCGAAAGCAACAATATCATGTACTCAACATATCACTGAAATCATTAATATGAATTTCACTGAAACCATTAATAACAGTCACTTTCAATAACATTTCAAAAATAACCAATCATATATTTTGGGCTCAAATTTAGAAAGGTAAAAGTTCGTAAAGACGTTCTAGCATAATTGCCAATCTAATATGTATAGAAAAACTCTTATAGAAATTCAAGAATACAGAATCATCACAATTTATGGGATGTCCATTCGCAAATAAATATTTCACAGATAATCAATTTGCAAAAATATCAGTTTTCAAGTAATAAGGCAGTCATTTGCACATGAAATTTACGATGTCTAAATATTCAAAAACAGTGGAAAGAAATCTCACAATTTTACTAACAGCAGAAATATCACAATTATTTCTAATAATTTTACAGTATCTAAAATTTTCTAACAATAGACAAGAAATTAAATAAATTTATTTTTAAAAATTTACAGCATTTAAAATTTATAACATAGATAAAACATCACAATTTTATTAAAAAGATTATTATTTTTTAATAATGAGGTCACGTGCTCGTAAAATTTGTCGCGCCTAAAATTTATGATAATAAGTAAAAGTAATTATTTCATTTCATTTCATTTAAAAAAGAAACGGATTATTTTTCAAGATAATGAAATCACTTACCTAATATATTTGAGAGTGAGCTTCCGATAAAAATTCGGCTAGAGAAAGGAGCTCACTGAGTTTCGACTAAAGAGAGAAATATCTCAAAATTTTCTAGGGTAGAAGTCATCACTTCTCCTATTTAAATTCTTACGACACCTTATTATATTATTTTATTAAGTTACACTTTATACATGAGGTGTAACAGTTATATTATATCTTAAACGCTTAAAGCCCACGTCCACTAATGGACGTGGCAAGAGCAAAGGCTTAAACCAGGTAAAAGCTTTTGAAAGTAGTGATGGTCCCTAAAGACCATCATGCTCATACGAACCATCACTTATTTAAAAGTTTCTTTTCTTTTTCCTTTTTCTTTTTTAGGATTATTACATTCTTCCCGCCTTAAAGAAATTTAGTCCTCTAAATTTGTGTACCTGATTACTGAAAAAGATAGGGATATTTTTCTCTGATATCGTCTTCTCGTTCCCAAGTCGATTCCTCTCTTGAATAGTACTGCCATAATATACGTACCAAAGGAATCTCCTTATTGCGCAGCACTTGGACCCTTCTATCCAGTATCAAAATTGGCTGCTCAATGAAGGATAGGTCCTTTCTGATCGGTAGAGGTTCATATTTTAAGATATGGGATGGGTCGGGCTGATATTTTCGTAGTGATGATACATGGAAGACATTATGAACGTTTGCCAATTCGGGTGGTAAGGCAAGTCTATAAGCGACACCTTTGATTCTTTTCAAGATTTCAAATGGTCCGATGTAACGTGGGCTCAGCTTTCCTTTCTTGCAGAATCTCATAATGCCTTTTATTGGTGAGATTTTTAGGAAAACTCGATCACCTTCCTCAAATTCAAGATCTCTCCTTCGGTTATCGACATAACTCTTTTGCCGACTCTGAGCTGTCCCGAGTCTTTCTCGAATTAATGCTATCTTATCTATGGTTACTTGGACAATTTATGGCCCCAAAAGTTTTTTTTCACCAACCTCGTCCCAACAGATGGGTGACCTGCATTTCCTTCCATACAGGGCTTCATATGGTGCCATCTGGATACTGGCTTGGTAGCTATTATTATAAGCAAACTCAATCAGGCATAAATGGTCATCCCAGCTTCCTGTAAAGTCAATGACACAGGCCCTCAGTATATCTTCCAAAGTTTGGATGGTCCTCTCCGATTGTCCATCAGTTTGGGGGTGAAAGGCAGTGCTAAAGGTGAATCTCGTCCCTATGCCTGACTGTAACCTAGCCCAAAATTTAGAAGCAAACCGAGTATCCCTGTCTGATACAATATTGACCGGAACTCCATGCAATCGCACTATTTCCTTAATGTACAACTGGGCCAGTCGATCCAAAGTATGCATCGTGCGAATAGGCAGAAAGTGGGCAGCTTTGGTCAGGCGGTCCACAATGACCCAAATGCTGTCACGTCCTGAATTTGTTCTAGGCAAGCCAGAGACAAAATCCATAGAGATGTGCTCACACTTCCACTCTGGCACGGGTAAAGGCTACAACAACCCAACAGGCCTTTGATGCTAAGCTTTTACTTGCTGGCATGTTAGGCACTTAGTCACAAATAGTGCTACCGCTTTTTTCGTATTATTCCACCAAAACGTTTTCTTCAGATCCTGATACATTTTAATACTTTCGGGATATATCGTATAACGAGAGTGATGTGCTTCGTCCAACATAGCTTTCTTCACACTCTCATCGTTCGGGACACAAATCCGACCATTGAATGTTAGCAAATCCTCACTACATATAGAGAATTCGTCTCTTTTTTTTCAAACTTCACCTCTTCTATAATTGTTATAAGCTGAAGGTCTTTCTTTTGTGCCGATCGAATATGTTGGATTAATTGGGGTTCTGCCTTAATGTTGGCAATCATACTTACCACACCATTAATGGACGGAGCCGGATGCCAATCCACTATTTTCTCTAACAATCTC